ATTCCAGGGCCCTGAGATCACGACCTGAGCGGAAGGCAGACGCTTCACCGACTGAGCCACCCAGGCGCCCGGTGTACAGATGGTTTTCTGAAATGACTTCTTTTTAAGTAACTCACACTACAAAGTTGGTTCTTCTCTTCTCCTGCCAACCCTAACTAGAATTGCTTCTGTGTGCTTCCTCAGTAACTTTTATCCCAAGTAGATCTTCCTATGTAACACACACACACACGCACACACACACACACACGCACACACATGCTTTTTTAAGTTTCTTCTGGTAAACTGCTACTCCTCCAGGGGATCAAGAACCCGTATATTGAGCTTTCTATGAAAGTGTCATCCTAGAATTCACAAAATCTTCAGTTTCCCCAAATGGAGAGAATAAGAGACTCTCTCTGTGGGCAAAGTTTATTTTGTGGCAATGTCTTATAAGTAAATCTTGTGCCATAGAGTGAATTTCCTAAGAAAAATCTTTGTGGGGAAGAGTATTAGAAGCGAGGGTTTTGCAACTGGATGGAACAAAATATTATAAATGGATACTCATGGCTCTTGGGATTTTTTTCTACTGCCCGGAAAGATCCCCAGAAATGCTCAGCCCATCTTGTAATGGGTTTCCCAGCCTTACTGCACCAATACAGACTCAGCCAGTATTTATCAGCATATTTACTGACATAGGCATGCTCCCAGCCCCAGGCAGTTACCTGCGACAACATCCACCTTCCAATCAGGATCCAGATCAGAGTTATCTCCCATTCTCTAATGCCATCCCCACCCCATCCCCTGCTTACAGTCAATCCAGGTTATCCTTGTTTAAAACAAATAGGGGCGCTTGGGTGGCTCAGCTGGTTAAGCATCTGACTCTTGATCTCAGCTCAGGTCCTGATCTCAGGGTCTCAGGATCTCAGGTGTCAGGCTCCGCCCTCAGCTCCAGGTCCACTTAAGATTCTCTCTCTCTGGTCCTACACACACACACACACACACACACACACACACACACTCTCTCTCTCTAAATAAATAAATAAATAAATAAATAAAATCTTTAAAACAAACAAGTCTCTTCTTACAACCAGAAAGCGAGTCTTTTATTTTCAACCTAGCTTCAAGTTATCTCTGTGTCCCATGTTCTTAATCAGGAGAACCAAGCAAGATAAAGGCGTCCCAAGTCTAGCACAAACCCAGAACATTTTACGGCTGAACAGACCTTAGGAGAGAACAGTACAGATGTCTCGCTGGACTTAGGCTCAGTATGCTGGTTTAAGGAGCTGCTCATAATCTCTGAACACCCAGTCCTGAGGACTGGATCTCTGGGGCTCCCTTCTTCATAGGCAGACACTGACATTTATTTCATTTCAGTCTCCCTAATCCCTCCTCCCACCCAACATTTGCAAGTTTTTGTGAGCAAGTTAATAAAGAGTTGACCAGTTATCAAAGTAAATGCAGTGCGGGCTCTTCAATGTAGGATCTCAAGTAAGCTTTTCTTTCTCCACAGTGGAGTTTCTGCCAGACTTCCCTTTCCCCCCCATTTCCACCCTACTTTAGGAAGGTGAGAAATGGAAGGAAAAGTAGCAACACAGTATTTAGCAGTGTTGGGAGTCAAGACACATTATCCATTGTCCCAAGGCTTTCTAAATGGAATCAGTGCTGCTGCTCTCACCCATCTCCGTAAGTCTTCTTGCTGAGTGCGCTGAGCAAAGCAGTGAGCTGTGGTTTTCTTAGCCAGGCCAAGGCAAGCAAGCTGGATGGCACTGGGAGTGCTGAAAGGCCCCTGGGTCACTTCATGGTATGCAATGAATCAGGAACTTGTGAAGGTACTGATTCACATTCGGGACATAGTAAAATGAGCGAGCAATCGCTGTTGTGATTTTCATTTCCAATCTTAACATACCTATGTCTGTAACTTATGTGAGAACAGGATATGTGGGTGAATGTTAACCTATGACAAATAATTTTGATAAAATCATATGTCTGGAGTCAATCCTACTTGTAAGCTCCTTTCTCATTTAGAAGAATATTCTTCCAGAATAGTATCTGTTTATCTCTTCTATGTTTTTGTTTTGTTCTACTGTAATACCGAATAGTGTGTGTGTGTGTGTGTGTGTGTGTGTGTTAAAAGGAAGCATAGTCAAATACATATGGTAAAAGGCACAGAGCTAGACACTTGTGTGATGGTTAATTTTATGTGTCAACTTGAGAGGTCCAATATGAACACAGATGTTTGGTCAAACCCCATTCTTTTTTTTTTTTTCATTTTTTATTTCTTTTCAGCATAACAGTATTCATTGTTTTTGCACCGCACCCAGTGCTCCATGCAATCCGTGCCCTCTCTAATACCCACCACCTGGTTCCCCCAACCTCCCACCCCCCCGCCCCTTCAAAACCCTCAGATTGTTTTTTAGAGTCCAGAGTCTGTCATGGTTCACCTCCCCTTCCAATTTCCCTCAACTCCCTATTCTGGATGTGTCTCTGAAGTTGTTTTTGGATAAGATCAACATTTAAAATGGTAGACTGTGTAACACAGATTATTCTATTGGTGGGCCTCATCTAGTCAGAGAAGGGGCCTGAACAGAACAAAGCTAGACCTTCCACGAGTAAGGGGGAACTTTTGCCTGCCTAGTTGAGCTGAGATACCATTTCATTCTGGCCTTTAGACTCAACTAAAATTCTGACTCATCTTGGATCTCTAGCCTGTGAGCATTCATTCATTCAGACTAGAACACCATTGGCTCTCCCCGACCTCCAGCTTACTGGAGGTAGATCTTGGGACTCATGGGCCTCTATAATCTCATGAACTAATTCCAAACAATTCTAGTACATACACATATCGGTTTGTGTTCCTCTGGAGAACCCTGACTAGTACACTCAGGTTCTAGTCAAGTAACTGCAGGATCATGGGTGATTCAGCGAACTCTCTCAAGCTCCTTTCCCCTTCTGTTTCATGAGGGGAAGAATTATCAAATGCCTATCAATGTTAATGAAATGATTAAAAAAAAAAGTGGCAAGGAGATCCTAAGAGTATACACTGCACATACACCCATCACTAAGAAAATCATTCTTATGGTTTCATCTAGCAGAACCTACCAATCTTTCAGCTGACTGAAAAACAGAAGACTTACCTCTCCATCATTAACAATATATATGTTTGTAGGCTTTAGCCATTGAAATCTTTCTTATTCCTTCTAAAACCTAGTCCCTATGATGGAAGAGATGGGAAGGGCATTTATAAACATATTCTGACAGCAAGTAAAACACAGGTGCCTAGCATAAAATAATTGAATGTAGAGCTGTCTCCAATCAAAGAAAAATGGGACCTAAGATATTTCTGGAGGACAGACTCTCTTTTTAATGTTGCACTCCCAACTCTCAAATGATTACAAAAAGGGGCAAAATTTTCCACTGTAAGTAAAGTTTCCATTTACACGTTCAAATTTCTGGTGGAGATAAAATTAAGCTCAACATTCTGAATATCATTTACATTAGATTTGACTTCTACAACTACACATCTATGCCATGTCCTACCCTAATGCAATACTTGGTACAGTTTATAATTTCCCATTTAATAACTACTTGTGTAAGTGAGTGACTGGCTGGAAAGCAATATTGTGTGTTTGTGGAGAGATAGAATTTGAGTCAAATGCACTGGGGTCTTGCCCTGAGAAATTGAGAAAATTACTCAAACTCTTCAAGACTCAGTCTGATTATTTACCAAATGGTCAGTAACAGTAAGTGAGCCTTAAGGAATCGATGTACCACCTGCTGTGCACTTAACAATATGCTTAGCAACATATAACAAGGCTTTAATAAATATTAGCACTGATTACTAGGATGACAATCTATAAATTGATCAGAGGTAACACTGTTCTAGATTCTACCTACTTCTACTGAAAGAGAAGACTAATCCCCTTCTCAAATTGGTGTTCTTTCTTTTCCAAGCAAAAGAATGAGAAGGGAAGGAAAGAGAAAAAATGGGGGAAAAGCTAGAAGCTGAATCTTTAGATAGAAATATCAGCACCTCACTTGCTTGTTTTTTTTTTTTTAAACTAAACATTACTATTCAACAAAAAAGCAGAAGTTTCCATTATGAGAATATGCCTTATTTTCTGAGTGCTAATCTTTCCCATGATTGCTCTTTTCTGACTCAGAGTTTACTGCCATTTCCCAAATAGTTTCCAGGAAGAGCATTCTAAAAATTACAATGTATCATGTCCCTCATCTGCTCAACCCCCCCCCCACACACACACAACAGATTTAGAGTAAACCCCACAGGCCTTGGCTTCTTCACTGTGTCCCCAGCATGCCTTTACGCTGGCTGTTCCCTTTGCTGAATGTTCTTCCCCAGAAGATCATATGCCTCTCTCTCACCTCCCTTCCAGGTCTCTGCTCTACGTTCCTTCATCAGAAACATCTTCCCGAGCCTGATCCCCGCCCCCATCAACCTCTATTCTAATCTCCAGTATCATATTTCATCATTGCTCTTATTGCCACTATATATATACAACATGCTTATTTGGTTCTGTATGTCATTATTTCTTGTCCCTCCCCCTACACGTCCCTCCCCCTACCCGATGCCCCTAGAATGTCTGCTCTATGAGAGCACAGACAGCACAGAGTTTACTGCTCTTACATATAAAGTCTCAATGAAAGACTGCTGCATAATAAGCACTCAAACATGGTGTTGAATCTATAAATGAATGGGATTAAGGAAGAAAACGATGGAGGGATGTAGACACGGTAGGAAGGAAAGTGAGAGAGAGGGAAAGTCTTTCATGACTAGAGAATCAGCTTATCGAAAAGGATTTCACCTGGCAAAATATACGGGCCATTTTGTCTTAAAATGAAGAAAAAAATAATCACAATAAACGTACGGAGACTAGTCAGGATATCTAATGAAATGGTTAGAAGAAAAAAAGAGAAGGAATGGTAATGAATATACATTCTGTCTTATCTCCTTTGTTTTGATTTCGAGATGGAAGGTAACAATGTACTAGGAGTCCAAAACTTACCATAATATCATGAAATAATGTTCCAGAGAGCAACTCAGGTTTTCTTATCCTAGAGATAATATGAGAAGTGGAAGAGATGAACAAGGAAGGTTGGGTTTTGCATTTCCTCGCAGATTTAAATAACTAACTCCCCTAGAACATATTCTATGGTAGGTACAATGCTAAGTAATTGCATATACATTCCTTCATTCAGTTTTCACAAGAACACTCTGAAAAAGATATTATAGTAACTATTAACTACTGAAGAAACCAAAGCTCAGAGGAGTAAGTGATTTATCTCAAGGTCACACTGCTGTTTAAGTGACAGAACGTTTGGGCCAGGCCCATAGCTTTTCCTGCTACTTCCTGTGGCCTCAAATGGATATAGCACATGTTACTTCTTAGACAGCACATTCAGGAGCCCTAGACTTTGACACACAAATCGCAAGGTTGCCAATCCCCTGGAAGCTTACAAGAGACGAAATACAAAGACAACCTCTTCTACATTATAGCATCCTCTAAAGAAACAAGCAGCCAACCAAACAAACCGAAGGGTCTATTGGCTACTTAGAGGGTCTTCTCAGCCTTTACATCAGATCAGAATTCTTCTAATTGGCCACTTCCCCTCAATTCTCTCAAGAGTTCCAAATTGGATTAATATCTTATCTGATCTGTAAGTGCTTTTCCGTCTTTGTGAGCAAACTTACCCCAGTTTTCCTTGGCTTAAAGGCTGCCAATCTCTTGGTGAAGTCAAAGTAGTAATTTTCTTATTCTGTTACTAACTCCACTGGGTTAATTCAGATTAGGAAAAATTATCACCTTGTTTTTAAGTAACTCTGATTTCACAGGGGCCATTGTTATGCTAGTTTCAGGAGTTCTGTCCTCTGAGGTCATGAAATACAGTAGCTACAGAGGTGGAAGCAATGGATTAGAAGAGAAAAATGAGATCTCCCTCCTCTTCCTCCTCATTAATATCTCCAAAGATCTTGGAGCCCTTGCCAAAAATGTGAGTGAGCCTTCACATGGGTTTTCAAATCAGGTTCAATGTTTGCTTAAGCTATATGGAAATCTTATCAGTTTGACTTCATATAGCCTTTGGAGTTCAGCTTGATTTTAGGTTTCTAAAGCTGAATTGGTAATTTCTAATAGATGTCAAATATTACAAAGGTTCAGATGTGGAGCCAAACATATTTGGGCTACAAGTTTTTGGAAAGCTGGAACTGACTCTCTTGAGAGCTTTCCAATAGGGATGGGCTAGTGCTTCTTTGCCAAGTTTAGAACCAAATCCAAATCTAAGAGGTTTAGAACTCAGGCTTGGCTGGAATCTTCTGGAAGTTGAGGGGGAGTTGTTTTATTTTCCTCTAATTTAGCAAAAGTCTTCTTAGCTTTCAGAATTATGTCCCAAGGGAACTGTGTCTAGATATTCAGTGGCTCTGAGAAAACCTCCCGTAAGTGACTTAATGTGATTTTTAATGTTTTTTATGTTTTTGACCCAACGCAGCCAAATGCATCTGCATGTCCTATTTTTCATTGTCTTAATGTGATTGACAGCGTTCTATTCATTGAAGAAAACTCATCTCTATACATGCTGTAGGAAATAATTCCTTCCCCCTGCCAAAGTTAAAGGCAAACCACTCCCCCAGGACAAATGCTTTGTGCCCAAAGTTAATACATCCAAGAAAGCAAAGTTGTTCCTTGGCTCCAGGGGAATTATACAAATATCATTTTGTCTAGGCCCCACTCTCCCCGTTTATGGAGAAGATGTCATAGCCGGGGCTGAGCATATTAATGGAATGAATGAGTGGTAGAAAGCAAGGAGTGGCCCCTATGGACTGGCCAAGGCCTGTGTAGAAAAAGCAAGAGGGCCTGGAATCGGGGACCCAGATTAAAGTCCAGTTCTGCCACTCAATGATTCTGATCTGCCATTTGCAAGTTATTTAATTGCTGATCTTAGTTGTAAAGAAAAACAGTATCTGGTGTATTTACCTTTAGGGAAAATGATATATATGAAAGTACTACATAACATAAACACAAACAGACAAAATTCTGGGAACTGTAAAAAAGTGCTTACCCTGAATTTTGTAATCTGCATCCATTTTGGAGAACATGAAATAGGATCTGCTTAGACAACCCAATGTCATTATAGTCCTTTCCCATGATGCAATTTTTAGCAAACAGAATTACTGACAACTATGGAAAGCTTAAAAAAAGCTCCTTCCCAAATGGAACGCTCTGAGTTTCCCCCACTAAAAAGATCTCCTCTAAAACAAAGAGTCTGGAAAAGACCACTGATGATGACTGCCCCAGACTGGCAATGAGCAAGGCCTCACTCTTCTTATTCGGGACCAATTAATATTCATGTAGTCCCAACCTTGACGGGATTTAGCCCCAGCATTTCATAAAACTGAAGCAATCCATCATCCAAAAGGGCAAAGAGGCAAAATTTCTGAGTAGTTTTCCTCAAACTCCATCAGAAAATATAAGCTCACGTTACTTCCCCTCCCCAATCCTTTCCTTCTTTATGAAGTGAGACTATTGTGGGTAACCGTGGTCTTATAATGCATTTTTGGCGGGCCAAGGCAATACCATGGCTTCAGATACTCTCTTTAGTAGTAAAGTTGGCCAGTGTTCTATTGTTTGCATCTGGGACATGGCCAGTAGAGTTCGGACATCTGCCCACTGTGTTAGCTCCTTGGGCGCCAGTGGGCTGAAGCTCATTATTCCACTGGGAATTATGCCTCTATTCCTTGAAAAAGGGAATGACTCACCAACAGCCCTCTATCACATCTGACATTTGGAGGACGAAAATCCCTTTTGAATTCCAAGTTCAGATGTGAGTGAGTTTCTTATTCTGACCAAACCGATCCATGAAGGCACTGCCTGACCAAGCTTATGCTTGGTCATCTCGCTGGAGTTGCTATTTAGTAGGAAATTTGGGAATTCCATTTCCAGACATGTTTAGGATTGTGCCAATCCAAATGGTCAGCCCCCTCTGGCTGCAAAACAAGAAGATAAAAACTGTTCTCTCAAACAGTTGATACAAAAGGCAGTGGGGTAATGTTGGCATGGTATAGGAAGTTGGCATATTTTTCAGTCCTCTCAATAATTTTGCTCTTTTCCTGTCCCTTTCTTTTAGTCTTATTGCAACCAATTTCTAGCCCTTTGAGAATCTCAGTAAACATTCCTATTGTAGAGGTCCCTATTTTCATCATTAGCTAATTATGGTACACTGGAGAAGTGAACCTCAAGCTCCATATCTATGCCTCAAAAACAAGGACATAATCAGCGTTTACCTTACAGGATGGCAAAGCTTAAAATGCTTAGTACAAGAGCCTGGTACCTAGTAAGTGCTCAGTAAATGTTACACCTAAAAATGATGACGAGGGTGCTTATAAACAGCTTTTAGCATAGTATTTAGCATGTAATAATGACTGGGTAAGTGATGAGAAGTATTAAAAATTATTACATTATCATTTATTCTAAGGAAAGGGTGAGAAGAATCCAGTTGGCTTTTTTGTTCAGGTCCATGTACGGACTATTCCCCACAGGGGTCAACACATGGCTTTAGCCAGACCTGAAACTGAGGCTTGATCTTGAAATGCCATCATCTCTGCTATTCTGAGACCGTGCTCCCTAGTACCTACCCACAAACATTTCAGTTCTTTAAGGGTTCCAACCTGGCCTTCATGGCTAACAACAGCCAATAACTTCCAGGAAAACAAAGAGCAGGATATTGAGGTCTTTTGGCCTTTGCAACAAAGAACAGCTGGATCCAATTCAAAGCCTTAACTGAAGAAAGAAAGAATAATGGACAGCCTTCTACTGGTCATGTGTCAGCCACTACAGGCTGTCTCTCTACCACCTGCAGGAACAGATTCAAATGGAGTATTTTTATTAAGGAAAATCTTCCGCCAGATTATAAGCAATGACCCAGTGAGAAACCAACTTGGTAGGGAACTGGTGGACAATATCCTAGGATGTTGCAGCAGGGAGTGGCCTTTGGAGTGAAGAGTCCTACGTTCAAAGGTTGACTGCCCCTTTGGGCAGTTTTATTAATCCTTTTTGAGCTTCAGTTTCCTCATTTTACATAAACAGAGGGGATTACAATAACCACATAACACTTATGCAAGAGGGCTGCTCCAAGATGTGAATAAGATCCTGCATGCTGGGCGCCTGGGTGGCTCAGTGCGTTAAGCCTCTGCCTTCAGCTCAGGTCATGATCTCAGGGTCCTGGGATCGAGCCCCGCATCGGGCTCTCTGCTCAGCGAGGAGCCTGCTTCCTCCTCTCTCTCTCTCTCTGCCTGCCTCTCTGCCTACTTGTGATCTCTGTCTGTCAAATAAATAAAATCTTCAAAAAAAAAAAAAAAAAGAAAGAAAAGATCCTGCATGCTATAGTACATGGCACAGCCTTCAGAAAGTACTAAGTGTCCAATATGCACCAACATGGATTAGGTCCCTTCCTCTTTCTCAAAGCTTTCCTGAACACGTCCTGAACACAATGGCGGTGAGGATACACTGGACGCTCAGTAATGAACACTTCCTAAAAAGCAGGGAGGAACCCTGAGACATGTGCTCCTGGGAGTGGCACTCTCGTGCTGAGTGCCAGTGGGTAGCTGGAAACCAGTAAGACAGCACCAGGCCTGAACTTCTTGAAGCCCCTTATTCCTCCAGCTCAGTTTGCAAATTACCGCCGTGGCCTGCTTATTATTACTCCAACTCCTCCTTCCTCCTCCACATTTCAATAGCTTGCCTGCCTGGCCTTGGGCATCTCAGGGAAGCCCTTCCCACACCCTCTAGGGAGTCTGCAATACAGCCCAGATGCTCTCAAAGATTAGAAAAACTTTTAAGTCTAGTCTAAAAAAAATAGTCCTATCCTTTGTCTCAGGCCATTATTTCTACTCTTACCAATTTTGGAGGATGCAATTTCCCCTCCTTCATTTATAATATTTTGCTCAGGGTATTTGTAGATTGTCAGCCTATATGTCAAGTCCCTGCTTGATTACACCATATAAATTCAGTTCTACTTATAAGCTAAAGCATGAGTATGAGAACAGGAATTAGAATACATTTCTAGTTTTGGAGGAAAACAAAACTCATTTTCTAACTCACTATCTCTCTGGATGAAACATTAGCTTCAATCTATAAATTAGAATTTTAATGTTGCAGAAATCACGTCATTTTGGAAGGAAGAAAGGTAAAGAACTTGCTTCAAGTGATAACTTTCTTGCTAATGGCAGAATCAGGACTGGCACACAGGTGGCCTAGTTCTCAGGTCAGGCGTCTGGTAGGGTCACTCAAAGTTTAAACTCCTCTGCATCCTATGTAAGTCCTTTGGTATACAGGCTCCTGCTGAGATCTCCTACTTTCCCTGCACTCTGCTCAGTTTATTGTCCATGGACTACTTCCCATTCTTTCCCACATGTCCAGGGAGCTTTTTTCTCCCCCACTCTCAGTAGTGACCTGCCTCATCTGTCTACCTGGGAAATCAACTCATCCTTAAACTTTTCTTCTGCAACCCTTTCCAACACCCTCAGAAAAATCCGTTTCTCCACCTGTGTGCCAACAGAATTTTGCATATGTCTCATTTACAGAGGATACTGCAAGGAATTACAGTTCTTTGTTTATCTTTGCCTCTCCGCTTTGTGATTTGTTACCTTTGTGAATTGTTGAAGCTTAGGAATTATACTTTATTCATCCACATATCCACAGCTCTCCAAAGAGTTTCTGACACATAATAAGCCTTAATAACTGCTATCTTTTTGTTTGTTTTCATTTTTATTTTGTTTTGTTTGCAGACAATTTTCATGTTAGTTGCTTTAGGTGAACAATAATGCACTTACATAGAGTATAACTATTTTATTCTGACCAACATCTAAGTATGTCTAAACTTCTGTGGATATCTTGGATTTCTAGGAACTACAAGTATTAAAATTGGTAATAATAATAATTGGAAAACTTTGCCTGGAGACTTGAGTACAAAGAAACTGAGAGAAGGTTCACAAAATCAGAGCATCAAATAAAATACCCAAGGGCTTCCACTTTGTTTTAAGGTAGCTTAATTTGCTAATCTTAAAAACGTCCAGAACTTTCTACCTTTGACAAAAGGCAAAACAAACAAGTAAAAACCACTTAAGATGATCTATACACCAGTTTTTATATCAAAAGAGGTTAAATTGTAGCAAAATAAAAACTTGGTATTTTGGAAAGTAGGTAAAACTATAGTACACAAACCTCCAGTAACTTTAAATCAAGTCTTTTATCCCAAAATGGCAATGTCTCCAACTATAATTAAATTACCTCAATAACACTTATAATAGAATTCTTGGAAAGTAATCTGAATTCTAAAGTATGTTCCCATCCTTGGGGGATAAAATCATGGAATTTCTCAACTCGGTAATTACTTAATATTTTCTACTCCATTCAGTTCTTCAGCAGAAATACATGAGTATTCACACTTTGCAAGTTGCTTAGAAGCTGTGAAACACTAATGTTGAATGACCAAGACTGTCCCCTGAATACTACCGCTATTGGCAAATTCTTACTTAAGAGACCCTGTGGGGAGTCAGTCCACCACCACCCTCCATAACTCTCTCCTCTTGCCTGGGTCTAATAGAGCTATGATTTTGGTATATTCGGTTTCCAATGTAGCTTGCCCTGGGACTATATCAGACTGATATTCTGAGCCATGTTTGGTTATTCTTGGCACCAGATAAGCATAGTGTCCACCAATCAGGTTATGACATGCTATAATGGGAAGTCATAATATATGTAACAAAGCTGAAAATGGAAAAAAAAAGTTCTAATGCATGAAATACATATAATTCTACAGTAATAAAGAAGTAGGACAGGCTCAGGTATGTATTTTGTCTTAAGAACAGAGCACAAACATCATCCTGCACAAACTAGAAAGATAAAGCAGAACAGAACCCCTATATGTTGAAAGCACCTGGAGTTAGAAGCTACAAAAGGCAAAAGTTATTTGACATAAACGCTGCTGTTTAGATTTCTTAAAGTTCTGTGTGAGCTTTTCTTACCTTAGAGACTGAGAAGGAAGAGAAATACCAGCTCACGTATAGAATGTCCCACAGATCACAGTAATGACTCTCTCAGCTGGAAACAGAAATAAAAGTCGTATCGATGGTGCTAGTGTTAGATGATGCATGAGTGTTTGTCCAAACTCCACGAAAAGAACTTCAAATGGCTTGATTCTGATCACCAACTCCTGGCCAGAAACACCCTTTCAGACATAACTAGTCTATTTTTTTTCTTTTTTTTTCCAGCATCTCTCCTAAACTTACCAAAAAGAAGTATTTTATTTTGGTTTTGTTCTCACCTCTTGCCATTTGGAATAACTGTAAGTCACATAAATAATGACCCGTATTGGCTACTGGGCACAGGGGAAAGTTGAAAGGATAAAACGAAGGGAATGTGTTAACATGACTCTTGGAAATAGCGCAGCTGAAATGTATGGTTTGGCATCTGACTAGAAACTGAATCTTAGCTCTTCACTTGACTTCTTTATGTCTCAGTATAAGATGAGAATTATAAAAGTCAGCATTTCAGTTTATGGTAGCTAGCTCATTGCCTGACAGACAGTCGGCACAGACACATCATTTTGTATTCTATCACACACTTGTTAAGAAATACATTATTTTTCTATTTTGTATGTACATACTTTTATATATTTATATATGTATTTGCTGTTACATACAACGGTTATTATATTTGACCTCCAATTATGCATTAAGCAATGAGATAGTGCAAATTAGGAAATAGGCAGAAAACATTCAAATGAGGTTCTTCTTTTTTCTGTAAGTTGTAATTAGGGAGCGGGGTGGTGGTGGGGGCAGGGGAATAACCAAATTCCAAATTCCAAAGTAGCTGACAAGGCAGACCAGAATGCCCTGGGCAGCCCTGATAAATGTGTGTTGTCTCAGCATACTTCTTAATAGCTCCCTCTTTCTAAAGACTGTCCTGACTTGATCAATTAAATACTCACAAACCAAAGGCCATATGTTGTAGGATAAACCTGTTGAGAAGAAAAACGTAAGGACACCTGATCCAGGGAAAAGCTTCCCAGGGTTAGGTAGGATCTAGGGTGATGAGGGAACATAGCTGTGTAAAGAATGAGAAGCATAGTATGGACCACCATCTTCAGAAGGACAGAACAGCGACTGCAGAGAAAAAAGCACAGGCATCTATGTAGAACTGGAGAAAAATGAAAATACAGAAGGATCATGTAGTTCAAAGGAGAAAATTGCAAAGGACCACACTACATAGATCAGTAGTTATCAGCTCATAAGGGTTCGGACAGTTTGGACCTAACTATTTTAAGAGCAACAAAAGGAAGAACAGTATTCTGTTTACTTGAATGAGATGTGCCATGAACGTGGGGAGTTGTGGGCACAGAAAATAAAGAGACTGTTTTATTTGGAAGCCCCTGGGGAACTGTTTATTTTACAACAAAGTAGTATCACTTTGTGGCCTCCTTCTTCCCGACGGCCAATAGGATCTGGCTAAGAACCCCAAAGCATGCAGCATCCATTTTGCTGCTGAGTTTACATTTCAGCAGAACAATTCCAGAATGAATCATTGCATGCACAGGTTGTTGGTTCTGCCCGGTCTGAAGCCCATTTTCAAAGTTCTTTCCTACTTTGTGTTCAAGGCTAAGTTCGCAGAGATTTATGTGGAGATTTCTTATTCTTCTTGAAAAATATAAAATCTTTCACCAGAGTATTTTTCTCACTCAGTGAGGCAGTCCTGGGCCTCTTGTTGTTATTCTCCGTAAGACATTTTCAACTTCTACTCAAATCTCTAGCATTTCTACTTAAGAGAGAAAGGGAGCAGTTGAGAACAGAGAAGTTAGCCTCTTACATGATTTGAAATGGGATGGGAAGTGAATGCACCCCTTTAAAATCAGCAGAATGTGAGAGAGAAACCAGTAACTTAAGGGACAAAAGTCTGTGCTGTCAAATAGGAAACTGATTTTAGAGAGGATTCACTTTCTCCAAATCCCCTACTCCTCCAAGACATAGCCTAATGTGCAGCAGGGTCTAGGGAATGCATAGTTGCCAGCGGGGATGACAGTAGCTCAATACTGGAAAATAAACCTGAGTAAAGAATGATTTTGTTCGAGCATACATTATATACCCAAGGAGGATATGGCACCAGCTTACAAAGAGTGGGTTTCATGAGGAAAGGAATCTGAGGAATGAGTAAGTAGTGAACTCAAACCAAGCTCTCCCACTTATATGCTGTGTGGCCTGGGACAAGTGCCTTAAGTTCTCTATGTCTCAGGTTCTTCATCTGTAAAATGGGGAAAATAATAGTACCTACCTCACAGAATTATTAGGATGAAATGTGTATAAAGTACATAGAGCAATCCCTGACTCAGAGTAAGTGCTTCTTAACAGCAACAGTAGTAACGAAAACCTACCAATAATTACTACTCTACTCTGAAATCTCTATAAATTTAAAAAGTTTCTGTTTCTATGAAATGATTTAGTCTCTGTGTTCCTTCCACCTACTTCAAATCTTCTAAAACCAAGAAGAATTTTTAACACTTAAAGCAAAAACTACCAATTCAAAATTTATAAACAAAAGAATTCACACCATGCTTTTGAAATTGCAAAAGATACACCTACACATACACCATGTCCCTTAGTGACGAAGAGGAAGATGGGAAGGCCAAGACATTATGGGGAGCTACACAGGGTCAGAGTTTATCTTTATATCTCTTTGTCTCAGTTTATAGAAAAAGAAAGGTCCCAGTTTCCAGACAGCCATGAAAACAAAATAAACAGGCATGTAAATGAGATGTGTTTTGGATGTGGGTTTGTATATATTGGCAGGAAGAGCAGTGAAACTTTGACTCTACTTTCTTATTCTTTTTTTTTTCTGTCCCTCTCAGTGCCAAAGGAGCTATTTTTAAAAGCATGGGTTTGTGTTTTTGATCATAATGTTATGGCAAAAGGGGAGATGACCTTTACATTTAGTCAGTAGCTGTTATGCAATCAGCAAGTTCCACAAGTCTGGTCACCAATAATCTGGGTGTTCTACGGTTCTTTCGTCTGCCCTCACAATTAAACAGAACTTATTAAGACTACACACAGTTAGGTAGTAATTCATTCCTTATTCGTTAAAAGAATACATATTCCCTCCCAAGTCCTGCCCGAACATCTTGTGAGGCCCAGTCTGGTATGGAATAATAGGTAGAGATGAGTGAGTGTGCTAAATCTTTAATGACACACGCAGGTGTAAATCCGGCTCTGTGCGCAGGGCTGAAACAGAAGGTAACAGCCGGGAGCACTTCCACGTAAAACCTACAGGATAAAGAGACAACCTACAGAAGTAGTAACGTGAGAGACGATTCCACAGAATGCCCGGGCTTCAACTCCACAGGTTCACATCAACAAGAACAGGATGGAATGTCATTACTGACACAGTGTCCTAATTCTCCAGCATTTCAATTCTTGTATCAGCCACTTTCTGGGGGTCAAATTCTGGGACAATTTTCCTAGACAGAAGAATGATAATTTCTGGCAAACAACAACA